AGAATGAGTCGCCTGGGACCGTGAGTAGAAAAGGAGCCTTTGCCTCTGACATTTCGTCGTCGGCTCATCGCAATCATAATTTCCATCTTTTCCATCTTTATGAATTTTAAATGAGACAGGGACAGGGACCGGGTCTTCGGTCTTTTCTCCCTGCAGCTGACAAACTTTGCACGCCTGTCATTGCGAATTCAACTAAATTTTTAATAAGATGCGCGGCCTTGTTTGCCACGCCCAATTGTCGCATAAGAGCTTATGCCGTATTTAGTCGGGTAAATATTTATTTGATTGGTATTTTTGCGATATCCGGATTTGTGTGTTAGCGAGCACAGGAAACGGAAATTGTACGGGCTTGTGGCAGCCGCGCTATTTCCATATTCCCAATGATGCGGAAACGTAAGGAAAAATCGCTCTTTTGTGCGGACCGAATAAATTTGCCTCGGCTTGTATACTCGTACATGCATACTCGTATACTCATATCTGTCTGGCGCATGATAAATGGATCTGAAGTGGAGCTGATGAGGCGAGCTGGCGGCTCATTAAAGCGGATGAGCGGATGTGTACTTCAGAAATACACAGTTGTATTTTTAATGCAATGCGTGCAGTAAGAATTCCAACCAAGCAAGCTCTTAATTCATATACAATAAATGAGGAATAAAGGTGGAATAAAGGAGGAAACAAATAATCTTTACAGCTATTTATTCACTTTCCTCTTAATTTATATTAACTTTTCTCCGGCTTGCCACATTATTTCACTCTCAACTGTGCGAGTATGACAACTAGCACTGCAATCGAAGGCGTCGCTCATTAAAAATAATTACAATTCTGAAGTGCTTCTGTGGGGCCAATGCATCCCTTCAGCGAAGGCCTTTAAAGTGGGCCAACTTAAATGAGGCAAGGCTCGGAAAAGGCAGCCACCGTATCCCCCAAACAACTTCCCTTACAAACGGGCCGGATGTGAAGAATAAATAAGACTAAATAGGAAAAATGAAGAAAATTATGAGCAGAGGCGAAAAGGGACAGGAGCGGAAACAAGGCGGGCTGGATTTCTTGGGGACCACCAAATCAGGCAGCTTTTATGGGTATTTGTACTTTTTATTTCTGGCTCCAGTGAATTTCAATGCGCAACCAGGGAGGCCGAAATGTTCGGATTTATGAAAAAATGCTGGACCAAATTTGGAAGCATTTAATTAGGGAAATTTATGATTTGGCTCCACCAGCGTGCAGGCTTTGAGAACTAATCAATGTTAATCCATTTCTAACGAGCCATCGTTAGGAACCCTGAATTACATACGCCCACAATCCAGCCAGTTGAATGGCATCATCAAAATGCCTGCCAACTTCCAAGTCATCAAATTGCATGCCAACTTGTTGTTGCCGCTGGCATTTAACGATAATGTGCGCCATATCGAGGCCATAAGCAGATATATATCCGAGGGATGGACGGATATCTACAATGCCCATATACAAGTATGTGTGCACTTAAAATGCCAGCCCAGAAATTGGGCCAACAGAATATTCCTGCAAGTCTTTGCTCTTTTTCTGCTGTGGCATGCTACTTAGCTAATATGGGAATGGCTTTCTGGGGCGTTTAATGCTACTTCATCATGCTCTGTGACACGGTATTTTAAGCAAAGTTCGGCACAATAATAGTTTCGAGAATCGCCAGTTAAATTAGTGATGTGATTCAGTACTGAGTATCACACTTTTCATTTCTGGCAGGCAGTCCTCGAGAGCTAATCCTCGATTTTGGACCTCCCCTCGCAGTGGCCTTTCCTTTGGGCTCGAGCAAGTGCCTCGAGCTGGTTCGCCTGCTTGCTCATATCAAATATTTGTTTTCAAAATATGTGCTAGATTCTAGGCACATTCTATGCCCGCTCCTCCGATCAGCCCCATGTGCTCCTTTCGGGGTATTTTTGGCTGAAATAGAACTCTTTGGCTTGCAGCTTGATTGGCCAAAACTTTGTAAACAAAAACACACGCAGAACAAATGCCAGCTTCGGTGCGAGGATAAAGTGTGGGCGGAGGCCCGTGGGCGTGTGGGCGTGGCAGGATGAAAGGCTTTGCGCTTTCGCTGGCTGTGCTGACAAAATCCTTTCGAGTTCGAGGGAGAGATATATATTTAACTGTTTGGCATATTATGGCTTTTATATTGAGTTGTTTTGAACTTATCTAGTTTACTGCCGGGCGGATAGGGCCAAATGGCTTGAAACTTGTCCTGACACAAAATATTCTTTATGGCTCGCATTAGAATTTGTTTCGATAAGGCCCTTGGGGGCGAGGCTAATTTCCAGGGATTGCAGTACATGACATGACAATGTGGAATAAATTACGTGCACAGAATATAACACTTTGTGTTAATCACAAGATTTGCTCACATTAAGTTAAGCTCTAGCTACATTTGCATAGATATCGCATGTTTGAGTGGAAACTGGGTTAAATTCATACTTTCCACTCAGTGAGTGAAGGATACCCAATACAATCATCACAATTTTTAAGCCCTGAATGGGGGTTTTCCAGTGTAGAGGCGAGAAATGTAAATCATTTGTAAAGTGACTGGGCTAAGTGGTTGGCCCGGATGGGTTGGCTGGAATCGTTTCAGATAGGAGAGCATTAACATAAATTACCTTGCACAACGATCCGACGTTCCTTGGGCCCCGGCCGCAATGTGCCAGCAGCAACAATCACACAATGCCAAGAACACACACTTGGGTTTTAGGATGCGGGACATGGGGAGAATGCAGGGTGCAGGTTGCAGGATGCAGGATGCAGGATGCAGCATGACAAACACAAAGGCAGAGAAATGAAGTGGTTAAGTGGTCCAAGGACCTGCAGATTTGGTCGCAGACATTCGGACAGATGGAGTCACGCACGCAGTGGCAACTTTACAGGATGTTTCAGCAGCAGCAGGACGAGTCCTTGCACAGTTCCTATGTGCCCACGACCGCTCCTCCTCCTGCGGACGAAGTACGTGACACGCTGGCATGTCCTGCTGTCCGCTGGGCGACTGCGGGAATGGGCGTGGCCCCGCCGGTCGTCGGAGTGGCTGGCTGCAGCAGCGGCGAGTCCAAGCTGCCGTTTCCTCCGCCGCCACCGCTGCCGCCTCCGGTCGAGGAAGTGCCTCCTAAAATGCTGCTAGTGGCACGCGTCAGGAACCAACAGTCCATGGGCGTCGGCTTGCCCTTCATGATCACGGGTCCGCGGTACTCCAAGTGGAACGAGTCATCCTGGTTGATCGCCAGACAGAGGAGCCTGCAAGAAGGAGAAGAGGGAGATACCATAAGTAGCAGGGCGGAAGGCAATTGTTATTCGTCTAGTCTCATTTAAACTGGAATTTCGTAAATAAAACTTTCCCAAGGAGGATGACAAAGAATAGTAGTTCTGGTAAGTGTTAAACGTGGGAGATGTGACTCCTTTAGCAGTCACATAAATTTGAGTTATTGAGTTCAGTGGTGGAGTTGGTCTGATGCCATAAGGCACTCTGAATGATGTATGTACATCTCAGGGGTCGTATATTTCTCAATCTGCACACCAATAAATTGCCATCATGCAGCTCTTAGATTGCATTGCCAGAAATTATGTTAATTCGGTTATTGTGCTCCGTGTGCCCGCACATTCGAGTGCACCACAAAACGGAAACGGAATAAAAATTTTCGCCAGGCTGGTGTGCATTTCCGTTTCCGGTTGGGTCGACCACTGTGCAACCACACATTGTTGCATTTATTCAGACTCATATATTTATATATTTACGGCCAATACGCCGCTGATTGGATACGCATTTAATTCAATTTATTCGCGACCTTTGCGGCATCGGATAGCCGGTGTATGGCCACAATTGCATTGCCCTTTTAATTAGCGAACAGGTGAGCCTGATGAGGTGAACAAATTTCCTTGTTGTCCTGGGCAACCAGCAGAAATATGCACCGTTTTAATGGACCTGAGTTAATTACACTGCTCCGAATGTCCTTCGACACTTATTTGCATATGCGATTAAGGCGCAGGACCCGAGGAATCCCTGCCAGCCATGATTATCGCAGCCATCATCTCTGGATCTCTGCGTGTGCGTTCTTAATTAATGTTTATGGCAGTGCATAAATATTTACCCAGCGCTTAATTGTCAGTCCAAATATTAAACGTGCAAATACGGCGAATAATGGAATGAGTGCCTGAATAATGTATGTGTAAATTGATATGTGCCGCATAAGCAAATATTAATTGGCAAGAGGGTATAGAAAAACATGTAAACAATCTGCGCGCTTGCTGTTTAAAAAATAAAATTTCAGCCGCAGCTGAGAAATTACATTACAATTGGCCTCGTGTTTTGAATTACATTTGTTTTGACGTGGCTTCAGCTCGAGAAAAGCAAAATGCTCCCATTATTTACAGACTTCAATTTATTCATTAGGATGTTTGTTTCAATATTTACATAGTCGCCGGACAAAAGTGTGTGATAATAAATAACCCCTTGAATGAATATGAATAAATTCCCCCTTGTAATAAATTCTACAGAAGGGAAAATAGTACTTCTCTAAAAATATTGCTGCAAAGTATCATAATATCGGATTGAAGTATCAAAGGACTTAGTATTATTGATTGAAATTCATTCATTCTTTAAATTGAAAAAAAAAATACTGAAACAATAAACAGAACACCACCATAGGTATTAATTTCGAAATCAATTGATTTTTGTTCAAGCAAGCATAATCCTCACAATTACAAACCAATTACTTTTTCGGTTTAACATTGCAAAATCACAAAAAACATGCGTTGTTTATACTTCATTTAATTTTATGTTTATTGTCAAACATTCACCCATTTTGCACAGCCATAATGTGGGCACATACATATATATATTTAAAATTGCAATTAATTTCCGCTTTATACTCATGAAACGCGTGTTTAATACCAGCGCTGCTCTCTGTGAAAAGAGAGAGGAGAGAACGCGGGAGAGACTGAGAGCTTAGGTAAACAGCTGAGCGTTCTTAGAATTTGGACTTCGTTTGTTTAGTTTTCCAGCGGCAGCTGATGAGTGGGGTGGAAAATTGTGTGTGAGCTGCGTGCAGTGAATAAATGGTTCGGAAAAATGCCAGCAAATTTCAAAGTGCAATAGACAGTTTAGCAAAGCCCAATCAATCGAATCGAATCCGTTTCAATGGAGTCCTTGAGTTCCATTCGGTTTTTGAAGAGCTCATAGAAACATACTTGTCGGCTGGTAATCAAACACCTGTTTGTTTGTCAATTGCTTTGCTGGGATTTTCATGGAATTAAGGAGGCCTCAAAAGCAATCGAGCTGTATAACAACTTTCGAATAAGCTTCACATGCCACGTAATTATTTTCTTAAATGATTCCAATGCTTAGAAATATTTAAACGACCATACCCTGCTCATTATCACTTGTTTATGTTTATCAAAAGTTCTCCCAGCACATCGTTGCCAGCTGAAAAAAAATCGATAGCGAAAGAGAGTCACCCCCACAAAAGAAATGCTCTCTTTTTTGTGCATTGCGACTCTTTGGCTTCAGCAGTGCGGGAGTTTTTTTGAAGCGGAATTTAAATTCTTTGGAGGCAATCAATTCATCTCAATCGAAAATATTTGCCTACTTGAAGTGAATTAAATTTATTTTTGCAATATGCTTTCGCAGTTGCTAGAGGCTTTCCAGCGGCTGGTAAGTCAATTAAAAAGCCAATTTGTGTGGGTTCGCTGCTGGCTGCCATTACCACGACATTTCTACGGTTTCCCGCGGGAAACTGAGTCACGGACACGGCTGCGTCTGCGGCAGCGGGAACGACTTCGGCGGAATCCCGCCGAACGGGCCAGTCACCAGCGGAACCGGCGGACAGAGCGGCGCCACCTGGTCATGGACTACATCTTCGAGTGCTTCTTTGAGGACACCTTTGAGCAGATCTCCCGGAACGGGCTGCAGGACCGCCAGTCGCGGCGCGATGTCCTCGACCACCTGAGCTCCATCATCAAGGGCTGCAGCGGCGGACAGAACTCCCAGACGGACGAGGTGGCCGCCATCGCGGTGACGGCGGCCATGAGATACCACCGCATGGCCAAGGAGCAGAACGGACAGGTGAGTCGCTTGTTGCACATGTGGCACTTCTGTGTGCAACACTGCCACAGTTGAAAGATATTTGCCTAATGATTTTATACAATTAAATGAATGCCAACCTAGGAAACAAATCTCAATTTAATTATGAAAGCTTTGACAATTAGTCCTGTGATTGAAAATGATATAAATAATTTAAACAAAAGCCAAGTCCATCCATTTCATTGCCAAATGAAATAAATCTTAAAGTTGAAACTAAGAACCTGTGAGTAATTAGCAAATAAAATATCTTTTCTCTTGAATCCAATTAAAGCAGAATTAAATGAGGCTTTCTAAGATACGTTTTGAAGGGAAAACTACTGAAATAACCAGTGAAAGAATATGTGTATTTAATTGGAATCTTGGAGTGTAAATAAATATGGCAAGCAGTTGCTGGCTCAATTTCCTTTGGCAGAGTCTGCCAAACTTAATTTTCTTGCATTTTAAATGCCAGCTCTTCAGATGGCAATTATTTATAATTTAAAAAGTAGCACTTCAGGTGGCATTCAACCCCTGCTTCCTCCGTATTCCCCAGGTCTGCCTCATGGGCAAGTATCACAACATTCTGTACATCGGCCTGCGCACCTGCTGGGATTGGGGAGTCCGGGACTCGGAGGTGGTCGTCAAGCTGCTGGGTAAGTGGTGGAGTCGGGCCAACTAAATAATTTAATTTAAATGCATGCACGTATATATATGTGTGCGTGTGTGGCACGACTTTGCTGTTTGCTGTTTGCTTTTGGGCGTGGCTGTTTGCTTTGCATACTTTAATAAATTTCATCCCATCGCATCGGATTATTACGCCCATAAGCAGGCAGTTTTCGCTTTCATCACGTGTTCCTGCTAATTGCGTTAAGAAAGTGTTGCTCATGTCGTTCGGCTGCTCTGTTGTTGCTGCATCGTAAAACTTGTAAAGTGCCTCAAAGTGTTGCAAGTTATTTGGGGCGTACGCATACTGGCTGCCTCTAATTAAAAGGCTGCGTAAACTTTTGCGAGCGAGCGAGAAAAGTGCCTGAAATTAATGGCATGCCTCTGTCAGGGGATCTGGACTCGTGTGCAATAAAACTTGCTCCTTGTTTGTCCTGTCCCCACTCACCAAGTTGCTTTGTTGCTGACTCCAGCTCTTTGGATCCTCTGGCCTTGGTTTGGCATCCTGGCCGTTTCCGTTTTCCGCTGACTTCATTTCTGGGCTGTGCCAAAAAGCCAGCGAAACCGAAAGCCAAAAAACCAAAGCAGCAACAAGTGCAGCCACGTAATTAGGTTTTTTATGGCTGCTGCTGCTGCGATTTGATGACATTATTCAACCGCTTTCTCCACTACCGACAATTTGCCTGCATGGGGTCTCCCACTGTCACATCGGTCACACTGTGTATACAAATTTGGTTTATGGCATTACCCGTTTCGAAATGTTATCAGCGGAAAATAAGATAAAATGCGGATTTTTCTAAATTAATTAACTTTTAACTATTTTCCTGTCTTTCCCCCATTTTTGTGCTATTCAGTGGCCATTTATGAGTGCGAGAAGACGTATGAGCGCATTTTCCTGGGTGCCCTGTTTGGACCACATGCTCCGCACTTCATCGCCGGCTGGCGCAGTGACTTCCAGGATCAGGTGAGACTGGCAGGCAGAACCTATTCTTGCCCCCGTGGAATAGACACCCATGTATGTCCTTTGTTCGCAGCACGAGAATGTCCGGGCTATGGTTTACTTTCTGAAGCACGCCACACGCGAGCAGCTCACATTGCCCGTCTGGATTCCGCGCTTCGAGCAGGAGCGACAGCTCAGGTGAGTCCTCAGCCCAATCCCCATGCCCCATCCTGTCCTGGCCTGCTCCACTTTCCCCACTTTCTCCGCGTGGCTTTCCATGTGTCGCGCTCTTTTGCTGCCTCGAGCGATTTTCACACTAGCCGGGTTAATTGGATAGTTGCCGGGGTGTCGTGATAGTGCCATGCCGAGGTCTTTATTTCCCCCAAGACTTTTTTATGCTTACAGCTAGACATTTTTTGAAAGCTTTTACTTTTAAAAATGAAACTGTAAAGATCGGATTATGTGCCGAGATATGAAGCTACCTTAATGGCTTGCCAGTTTTCCACACAATAAGATACTATATATAACCGCTGGGAATACAAGGTAATGGTGGACGAAAGGGAAGGATTACCAGAGAAATGAAAGGATTTTAATTAAATTAATTCATCAGCCATTGTTGTGCCACCGACACCCAGTGTGTATATGTGTGTGTGGCAGCGACAGTGTGTGTGTGACTGCCATAATTGAGTGAAAGATGGCGACAATTTACAGCCACAGACACGACTGCGAATACACTTTTACAGAGAATGGCTCTCAATCACTGGTGGTGGCTTTCTCTCACTTCTGCTGGTGTCATGTATAATTAAGATTTTCATTTGCAGCTCGCTTTCGGGGGGTTTCCCATTTTCCGCCCCGTCCGACACTCTCACATGCACATGGCGTCCATGTGTGTGTGTGTCTCTGATGCGATAAGCTGAAAACCAACAGGCAGCGATGTAAACCTTTTGTTATTTCGGCTTTGTTCGCCAGCACTTCGGAGGATTAAAGTCAAAAATGCGTGTAATAAGCGCACAAAAGCATGCTCAACCCCACCACGCCCACTAATCCACACAGATACAGCCCGCCCCCTTGGATATACCATACTCACACCATTGCAGAGTTGACTGTTTGCGCTTCTTAAGCAAACAGAAGGAAAAAACATACTGACTGGCAAGCATTAAGACGACATTTATGATGCCCTCTCGCAGAACAGCAGCCAAAGTCATGAATAAGCGTTAATAGCTGCAAATGTATGTGGGGCCGTGACCTTAGTGTGTTTGTATGGGTGTGTGATTGGGAGTGTGTGTGCGACTGAGGAGCTGTGAAAAACAAGCAATGTGACAATAAACGTTTCGGTCAATGCCGTTGAAGCTGCATAAATCAGTGCTGGAGCAGCATATTGCCAAAGTTTTCGCAGAACAGTGAACACTCGCTAAGGACAATGGTGTGAGTGTCCTTACAACAGTTGCTGCATTTCGAGAAAAGCAGCTAAAAAGGTTGTTAAGCTGTATTGCCGAATAGTTAACAACACATTAAAGCGAAATTGTCAATTGAAAGGAATGGGAGAAGCATTAATTAATTCGGTAATTGCACAGCTTAAGTGGCTTAAGAAGCTAGTTGCATTATTGCACTGCTGTTTGGCATAATCCACTGTTAGTCCACCTGCTGACTTAATGACACTCAGAATAATGTATACCCTGCCAATATGCAAGGCACTGAAAGCCGCCCAAGTTGAGAACTCCTTCACTTTCCCTCGCCCTGAAACGAAGTGCGCACTGTATAGCAAAGACATTAACATTAAATCGCAGCTAATACTCGCTAAGCAGGCCATTAGATAGAAATTTGATTTGTCAGCCCACTCAGCAGCTGATTAAAGTGTTAATGTTTGATCTGGGGGGCAAGTCACTTCCGACTGGAGGAGAATATGCCAGCCACGAGGTGCCATATAAGGCTATTGAGGAACCTGTCATGGGATGCCATTGGGGAATGGCTTGATTCTAGCAGGGACTCACTTTTATCGCCGCCAATAAAACGCAAATGAATTTGCCAAGCCAATTTCCAAGCTGTCACTGGTTGGTGGCTCAAAATGCGCTTATCGTCTGCTGTGTGGGTTACTTCTACTTCCGGTTTATTGTGGTTTCTGCTCTTTTATTTGCCTACTTTTATGCGTAGACATAAAAGCCGTGTGTGTGCGCGTGTGTTAGTGTGCTGTGTCGGAAATGTGCTTTAAGTGCATTGTACATGCTAATGCCTGAACGGAGACAAACGCCCACCACTCACACAACACATTACGTATACGCAATGTCAAGCTAGGCACAGAAAAAAACATTTCAAGCTTCTGCGTGGAAAATGTCGAAGTGGAATAACTTCTAGGGCTCGGAAAGTCCTCTTTAAGGTGTCTTAAAGTATGCTGTAAGACACGAACATTGGCTTCCACCTTTAGTTGCCAGCAAAAACAGGCGAGTGCTTTCTATTTTTTTCTGTGCCTTCTGTCCTGTAATGGCAGGGCACTGAGCAACAAGCGAGCAGCTTAATTGGGGTCTGGCACCCGCCCGGGCTCATTTTCTCAGCTCCAGAGAGTCCTGCTAATGTGCGAAGCCCATTTTGATGCTTGTCGCCCATTTGGGCGGCCACAAAACTTAACTAACTGACTTATCCAAATCCGGCTTTTTGTTCCTACTTTTTTCAGATTCATTGATGTCCCCATTGAGTCCTGCGGCAAGTCCTCGCCCCTTCGCATTGCCCTGCAGGCGAACGCTCCCGAACTGCTGCTCATACTGCTCAGGTAAGTCGTGGCCTGGAAAAGGAATTCCGGCCAGGGGGTAATGGGATTGGGTATGGGAAGGGGAAGTGCCAGCGACTACCACTTCAATTAGCGAGAAATATGCAAAGCGGTCGCCACTTGGCGGCGCCGCAATGTATGCAACATAAAATACAAGACGCTTAGCATAAGCAAGTGCTCGCGAAGCCACAAGAAAACGCAACGCTTGGAGGAACCCAAGGAGCGGGTAGAGAAAATAAAAGGAAAAATTATCATTAAATATGAAAGTCGCTGCCACAGCGAATTTGCATCACAAGGCGGTCTCCGGCGAGTCTCGAGGTCCAAAAAAGCAGCTTGTAAAAAGTTACGAGCATGCACTCGGTCCTCAGCCGAGATTCATAAATTTATATGTAAACGCCTGCAGTTTCGACTTGCCGTTCCTGAGTCCTTCGTCCTTGACTTTCGCCGTCGCGGCAATTTATTGTTTCCCAACTGGATATTGCAGCGGCCACGCCCCACGCCCCGCCCCTCCATTTCGCTGGCTTCGATTTCAATTTTTGATGCAGCGCCAAAAAGGATGCTTTGCATAAAATACGAGTATTGATTACTGGCCAAAACGGCGAGTCACAACAAAGTTCCCGTCGGCAAGTCCCGTCTGAGATGCTTGGCTGTCAAAGTTTATGTCGACGGCTGGCGGAAGGCGGAAGGCAGCTTGCATTTCATTAGATCAGGATTTTCGCAAAAATTATTCAATTTCCTCAGGTCTTTTGGTCTGAGTGGCACAATTTATGTGATTTTTCCTAGTAGTGACTTTGGGTACCGATTTAAGAAGAGTGCCTTCTAAAATGTTTACTTTATTTATTTTCCTTATGAATAGAATAAGAATAGTTTTTGAATATATATGTATGACCTCTTTAAATGTTTCCCCCCTTTGACCTTGTTAAATACAAATTTCATTCCGAACTGCGCCTAAAGGCCTTCACCGAAATACAGCTTCCAAATAGCTGCCAAATGAAATTCCGAATCATTTCTTGGGCGAATTCTTGAGCAAATCGACTTGCAACATTATTTGCCCCCTTTGTTATACTACGAAATTAAAAGTGAATTCCCCTTCTCAAAAGGGGCGTAATGCGGAAAGAATTCGCATTATGAGGCGGAGGCCAGTTTAATATCCCAGATTCAGCATCGGATTGAGATTCCCGCCAGCTGTGCTGATTGCACCAAGCAAATTGCAATTGCAGTGGCTCCGATTGATGGCAAATGTTTGAGTTTGGCTTGCCAATTCCCCGCTGCGCATTGCCCCTCGGTTTTCCACCGTTTTCCCGGCTGTGGATGGAGGTGGGTTTTCCCAGTCTTTGCAGTCGGTTTTTGGTTTTGTTTCTGTTTCTGTTTCCGCGTCGTCGCCTTTCGGCGTCGACTGATTTTCATTCAGATGCGGCTACTGTTTTTTCGAGTTACTGACGCTGATGCGCCATAAATTTTCGATATTGTTTCGCTTTTGTGTGTTTTAATTTGCGTTTCGCTCGCCGCTTTGTTGCATTTCCATTTAAAATTGGCCATAAAATATGCAAATGAATGTGGTGAGATGAATTCCTTTTCCGCTGGTACTTTTATTCGCTGCCAAATTGATTTACTAGTGCATAATTGCGCATACGCCCTGTGGCTTGCGACTCGTTTCGCTGGGCCAAAAGACAATATTTATATAATGTACCGGCGGTGAAACAACGCATAAATAAGCGAAACATATAAATTAAAATGCTTATCAGGCAGAAAACGAGAAATGTAAATGCGGGGGAGATCTTTGACAAACATTTTCAATTTAAAAAGTGACAACACTGCCGACGCCAGTTGCAATTTGCGATTCGCACTTAATTTGCCATTTACTCAGGTCGGTCTGAATGCAGTGAAAAAAATTTGTATCACTATGTAACTCAATGATTTGGAAAGCCTACATTCCTGTTGTAATCTATCTTACATTTCAGTACAAGCAAGCTCTATGTTAAATAACAAACTACTTAATGATTTGGGAAGCCTGAAAAGACTACATTCCTATTGCGATTTATCTTACATTTCAGTACGCTTAGCATGCTCAATATTAAATAATAAATTGCTTTAAATGAAAACATTTCTTTCTCAGTGCACATGTGTACATCTCTGCTGCTATGCGTGTGTGCATGTGTGCAACTGACACAACCGCGAGTCGTGTCTGTTCATTATTTCATTTGTACATTGTGTTTATCGGGGCATCTAGCATTTATTGCCTGCCCCTTGCCCCTTGCCACTCGACCTCTGACCCTTTGCATTGACCACAAGCAAACCAACTACGTGCTGGCAGCTTGTATCTCATTTGCAAACAGTTACCCACTCCCGACCGCTGACACGCCCTCTCACCAGCTACGCCCCTTCCATCCGTTGCAGATACGGTGCCGCACCGCAGCCGCCGGACGGAGGCGCCTCCGTAATTATAGCGCTGCTCGACAAACTCATCGAGGATGGCCGTAATTACAGCTTCGAACTGGTCATGTGCCTCAAGATCCTGCTGCGCAATGTGGTCATGATTGAGATGCCCTTCAAGGTGAGCAAATGCTTATTAAATTAATTATGTGCTCTGGAGTGATGCAGTGAGTACATAATGCGAGTACAAATATAAGTGGTTTGTAATCATAAAATTCCTCTTACTAATTTGTGAAATATTCTATTTCAGCCCCTTTTATACGCTGCCCGAAGAGAGATGTTCTTCGATCGCTACGGCCGCCTGTTGATGGACAAGATCATCGGCAAGGAGCAGGTCTACGGAGTACCCAGCCTTCGTCATCTATGCCGGTAATTATCAACTTTGACCCGTAATTTTTCTAGGGGATGGAAACTGCTTCGAACACTTTGTGACCAACAGTCGGCTGCCCACGTCTTTTGGTCGGAAATGGAGATTAGGCCAGGGAGAATGAAGTCTGACAGCCATAATAAGTTTCACTTTTTTATTCAATTACTTTGGCTTAGGTCCGCCACGCTTGCTTAACTTCCCATGGGCAGACAATTCGGCTATAAGCCCGAAAGATGAAATAAGCGTAAGACAGGAGCCCAACTGACTGGCTGACAAACTGACAGACAGTTGACAAGTTTCCCTCGTCCTGCCGTCTTTGTATTGTATTGTATCCAAAAGTCGGGTCGAAACTTTCCCGTTTGCTTCACTGACTCAGCCGCAAGTAGTCAAATGTCGGCCAACTTAATGAATTAAATCGATGTGAATTACTTTGCCATGTTGATCGCTTTTGGAGTCGAGAAGTTTCTTCGATTTAATTCGAGAAGTTGGCGTCTGCTATTGATAAGGCTATTGTGGGACTCCATGTGTGCCACTTATTTGTGGAGCACTCGGTGACCCGATGATGCCGGCTACACAAATATACAAACATATTTGCCTCCGCCTGCTCACGTGTCACAAAAATGTCCATTGACTTTGGCTCTCGTTTCAGCTGGAAACCCGTTTTCCAGCTTGTTTGCCAGTTTGTTTTTCTCGGGCCAATGTTTGCGATGCGAAAACTCGCGCTCTTGCCCTGCATTTCGCACAGTAAAGCATTGGTGGTGAGGCCAGAACAAATTTTGTTTATACAATTTAAAGCATTTGTTCTGTTTCTCGTGACATTCTTTGAAGACTAACTAATGTGTAAAAAATTGTAGCACCACCTTTCTAATTTGTTTTCATTTTCAAAACGTTTTCGTTTATACAGATTTTCTTGAAAATGTACCGCTTGGTAGCTGCGACGCCAATAACCACTGTACTTGCAATTGAGTTGGCGTCCACTTGTCGTGGCATCAACAATGTACTCGAAATGAGCTCTTGATTTATATGTTCTGTCACAGTTCCTCTTGGCTCCTTCTAGCCAGCCATTTTGCGATTTCAATTTATGCAAATCTCTTTGGAACCCACAAAGAATGCATGCATAACGCATTACATTGCGCATTGGCCCCGAAATCAGAGTCTTGAAGAGAATGTGACGATTGCCGTCATGGGCGAAAACATTGCGCATACGCCCCGGCATCCCGACTTCCATAGAGGCGCCCACAAGTAGGCAACGCTTTTTGTGCCTGTTTTTATGGCTGCTCAGTGACTTCAGCCGCTCATCTTTTCCCCTTGGGCGGTGTCAGCTTGCTTTATTGATTGGTCGAATTTGTCGTCGGCGGCCATAAAAAAGCCAAAATATTGCCAGAACAGGAAACTTGACAGGACAAATTAACATGGACATAAACTGCGGAGTTCCTTGCTGGTTACCCCTGGCAGCTGATTAGCATGTTGTTACGCTCTCCGTGCGTTTTATGACGCCAATTTGGGGCTCACTTTCGCAAGAATTTCGGACAAGTGGCTGCTGCTCCCCTCTTCATCAAAAAGGCACTTTAGAACCGGCTCCACACACTGGCAAACTTTAGAGGAAGCTTTCACTGCGGCTAAAAGTGGAAGGGCCAAAAAGAATCCGCTACCAATATCCGCTACTTTAACTTCTTCCTCTAGTTTCGCAGGCAACTTCAGTGAAAGTTCCTGCATGAGGTTTTTCGCTCTTCCTGCCTTTCACTCACGAGAAAAGTTTTAAGCACATGAACTTTGTTTGCTGTGCGGATTTTTTTGTTCGCCGTATGAGCTTATTGTGTGAAACTTAAATTAATTTATGAAATATCAAGCTGAGATTGACACGAACAGAGTCTAAGGCCGAGAAAAGTATACCAAAGTCTTGGGCAGCTCAAAAAACGTAAATAGTGCGATCGATTATCAAGACATCACGTTCACAGCATTAAGCTTAGACAGAAATTAATGCTACTTTATAGCATAAAGACTTCAACATTAAATTTCGATTTCCAGCTGCTGCATCCGCGATGTCCTGCGGATGCACAATCAACTACCCAACGGCATCGACACGTTGAGGCTGCCAAAGCGCCTGCAACGCTACATCGATCTCACCGAGGAGCTCGAAGGACCTGAGGCGCAGGACAGCGAGGAGAAGGATCAGCAGCGGGGAAAATCCTCGGCCAAATGCAAGCTGGGAGGCGAGGTGGCACGACTGGATACCATCAGCAGTGCGGAGGAGAGTGAGGACGAGAGCGAGAATCAAGCGCAGCTCCTGCAGGCAGTCACGGATCCGGAGAAGGCTGCATTGGCGGCTTTCATGGCCACCGGCGATGGAGCGTATACGGAGGAGGCGAAGCAGGCGGCGGTAGATGCCTACGTGGCAGCCTGTCCGCCCGATTTCGATCCGGATTTTCCGCCAATTTCCCTGCCCGGGGAACCCAGATAGCCAAAAACACCCAGTACTAGCACTAGCACTCACCGATAGGTTTCTTCGCTGACGTTGATGCGACCCGGAACGCCGGTGGTCTCCGTCCGGCTGGTGAGATTGACGGTATTTCCGAATAGACAGTAGCGCGGCACTCGGTTGCCGATCACTCCGGTCACCACTTCGCCGGAGTGGATGCCTATGGTGATTTGCTGGAAAAACAAGGACCAAACAATGAATTTACAATTGTAGAATTTGTAGGGAGCTTATCTAGAAAATAAATGTATATTCTGAGTTTCTAAGAGAATTTATCGGGCCTTGCAGGCTCTTGAAAAGGCACTTCATTGCGCTAATAAACTTTCGCCTGCCAGTGTCCCATCATCAACACCCCGAAAAGTTGCCAACCGCAACGGAATGTAGCTGCAAAAACCAAGCGAAAGTTGCCACAATTACTTTCCAAAAACTTGCAGCAGCAGTAGGAAAAAGTTTTCTTTAATTAAATTTAAAACGAAATGAGCGGCGACCAGGGAGAATAAGCGCAATTCCCAGCCCCGCCCACAATAGGTCCTTGTTAGTAGGAGACGATGCTGAAATCCAAAAGCGAGAGTCCCGGGAAGGCAGAGGGTTTCGCAGAAACGCAGAGCCAAGATAATATGTGTAAATGGGTAAAGTGCCAGCAGTTCAGAGATAAAAACGAAGGACAAAAGTTGTAATTACCAGAAAAACATTACATAAAACTAATCGCCTAGGCTGCGAGTGCGATAGGAAAAGTATCAAAACTTTTGGAAGCCAAAAGTGCAGAAAGTCGAGCTGAGGAAAAATATCGCAACAAAATAAAATCCAATCAGTGCACTGCATTGCTGTTGAATGATTCAACAGTGAACTTAAAGCAGAAGTCAATCAATCAGTTTTCTTTGATTATATGATACAGAAATTGGCTAAACATTTCAGCTATCCAATGGTTTCCAACAACAACAGATTTCTTCAACATTTTTTTCCAATTAGAGAAGGAAACTTCTTGCCAGAAAATTCTAAAGGACATTACATACAGATTGTCCAGCCAAGTTCAAAACTATTTTCTGGAAAATTGCTGATTTATTTTTAGCCAACAGCCACGATGCATGGCAGTAAGGAAAATGATTTTCCTGGTTTCGCCCTCGAGTGTATAAAATACATAGCAACTGCAGAAAGTTTTTGCTGAGAAGCGAATCAATATTTATGGACTGTAAGCACAGGAAGTAGCCAACAAAGAGTTGAGTTGAGAAAAACTGGCAGGAAAAGCGGGCAAAGCGGGAAAAGAGGGCTGGAAGCAAAGTTTTTGCATAAAGAAAAACATCGGTATAATTGGCTTCATAAGCGGAGGGGGAGGTGCAGGGCGGAATGACTAGCTGCTGCTGCTGCTGCTTTTTATCAGGATTTAATGAAGCGCAAAATGATGCCAGTGGCGGCGGGGGAAGTTCTTGGGGCGCAAGAGGGGGGCAGCGAGTCCTGGGAAAGGGCAGTGCAACAGGCTCGGATGTCATGTCCTAGTTTTTGCCATTAGTCGCCCGTGGCGATTGTTAATTGGATTTGGAGCGATCTATCAAACGCTGACTCAATTCTGGAATTCCCCTCCCCGTTTTTTTGGTCCGCAAGGAAGGGGTTTCCCACTGCATTACCAAAGGCAATCAGTCAAATATGAAACACTGACAGCCACAAAAACTTGACTGCAGTTGCGGCGAGGCCAGATGGAAATGGAGACTAGTTGGGGCTTATGGCTTATGGTGGGCGGAACAGATGGATGATCCCAGGACGAAAAGAAGACATCCTTACGAGGACAGCCAACGGCAAGACGATAAGGTAATGGAATTTTAGCAACCGAAAAACAACAACTCTGACAATAAAGCCAAGTGACACGAGCCCAAGCAAGAGTTGCTAAGTTTGTGTGGGTGGGTACTCCCATATCTACAATAGGGTGAGCCGGAAATTATAGTTATAGCTTATTTCATCTACCAAGTACTATCCATTATTTCACATTAAGAACCTTAGGAGCTGTGGTAATTCGAAATTTACCTTCAAACACTGCACAATATAGGAACCTTTAAGTTTGCTTCCATTTTCGCTGTGAGCCACCCTAATACACACACAGATGCCAAGACATGTGCAAAAAGTGACTGACAAGCCACAAGCATTGTCCACACGTACAATGCTGTAATTGTGAAGGATGCCATCAAGTGGGGCATCCGCATCCTCGTCCTCACACTCGTCCTCGCTTCGTCCTGTGGATGAACCGCCCGCCGCCCCTGCTTCCCCTATTCATATCTACATTTATCTGTGGCCCTGCATGTGTGCAGTGTATTTTAAGCCGAGCACTCAAAGCAAAAGTGTTTAAGCCGAAAAAAAAGATAGGAACAGCAGGCAGGAGGCAAGAGATGGAGGCCTCGTCACCATCCTCGGCCAAGTTTCAACGTCTCTGGTGACAGTTGACGGTCAAGTGGCCACTGGCAAGGATCCGAAACCATGTTCCATGGCACAAGACGCGTCCTTTGACATTGTGTGTCATCAATTTTGAATTAATTTTAGCCATTTTCGCAGTTTTCTATCCAAAACTTTGCCCCCACGCCGTTCGCAGAGAATGATAAACTTTGTTAAATGAACTTTTTTCGCACTTGCCTGCTGCCACAAGTTGTTAATATTTTACGTGCACTTGCCACTCAATCCGGACAGTCGAGGGTTAAGGGATTGCGAGGGGCGAGCAGATAGACATTGAAATTTATGCGCCATTGAGTTGCTGTTGCTCAAAATGGCGAATGGCGAATGGCAAATGGAAAATTGCAAATGGCGAATAGCGCATTCAGCAACAAATTGTGCCAACACTCTGAAAGTTGCATGCTCACACGAACGAACAAAAACAGCAGCGAGACAATTTTCCAACTACTTTCAATGCGCACAATTAGAGTGGCGGCCCCTGGAAAACCCGAACGTTTTCCCAGCCCCAACCCCGCTTTTCATCCGCTGGCACTTGAGCAACTTGAGCACAAGTTGTCAGTTGTGAATGCATTTTTGTTGGTCGGCAAAGGCTGCACATAATATGGCACAAAAGGAAAGACGCCAAAATATGCTAAATGTGATGAAAAGCGAAGCCGAGATTCAAATACAATTGCGGGAAATTTAGCGGGTTTTACTTGTGCTAGTTCTAAATAAGAAGTTTGCCCTCATAAAACATTAAAATAACAGTGCATAAAATGTGTTTAAACTAACAATCACATTCTAATTATAATAGCTTTGTACTTCCTATTAACATTTGTGGATACATTCGGAATTAGATACTCGTATACTTAAAGGTGATGAACATTAACTTCCACACTCACCACTGGATTGGAGCCCATTTTGACGTTCTTGGCCATGTCCATCATATCGAGGGCCACTCGTGCCATGCACTTGGCATGATCCTCGCAGTGGTCGGGCAGTCCGGAAACGGCCATGTACTTATCGCCAACAGTTTCCACCTGAAAGCACAGACATGCCAATCACTCCTTTAGATGGACCAAATTGAGAGGTGACTCGAAAAAGGGGCCGGAATTGCATCGTGTTTGTGGTCAGGGAAAAAGTGTAATTAAGTGGCCATTGCAGAGGGCTGTTGGCCAGCCCGGCCCACCTGCATTTGAACTCTGACCCACCTTGTACACGTTGAGGTTGCGCTTGGAGTCGGTCAGAGCATCGAATACCGTGTAGAGCTCATTCAGCATTTTCACGATTTTCATGGCCCCATCGGGATCCGTGTTGGCCGCACAGTATTGGCCAAAGCCCACGATGCCGGAGAACATCAGCGTCACGGAGTCGTAGCTGTCGAATGGAAAAGGATGTGTGGATGTAAGGATGTATGGTATCATAAATAAACGGACACAAATATGGCAAATTGCTTGCATTTTCCAGCATGTGAGCTGGAGTGCACAGAGAGAGATGTAATGTGACTGTAAGCTATATATCTGCAAACTTTTATACACCCCAAAGAGGGATTTGTGAGCTGATTTCTTTCGAAACATTCAATTTTCTCACTGTGCACGCGCTCCCATAGGGATAAGGTAAATTGACTTTTTCCTACCGTTTGGGCGGCACAGGACGCTGATGTCGTAACTCATTGGCCACCGACTTTGGCAGCACCGAATAGAGCAGCCTGAATGGGCCAGGATGAAACAGCAGCAGAAAGAATGCAGAAACATGGGAAAGTAATTTCAATTTCGCGCCTGAGAGAATTGCGCGCCATTAAGGAGTCGCTGTTGTCATTTGTCATTTACCTGTCGGTCTTCTGCTTCTCGCTCTCCAGATCGCGGAAGGTCTGCTGCAGCTTGTCGGTTAGCATTTCCAGGTTCTTGGTGAGCTTGTACTCCGCCTCAAACTTCTCCGAGAGCAGGACCAAATCCCTGGCAGCGTCGTGCAGCGGCACATCCGAGATGTAGAGTCCCTTCCTGAAAAACAGTACACATTCCACGTTCAACGGCGAGTTCAAAGATGTGGCACGTGGGTGTAAATGGAAAAATGACACGCATTTTGTTTTACTTAAGACATTTTCAAATCGCCAGGCGGCAAATAGAATCCGAGCGAAGAAAATAAGCAAAGTGGAAGCATTTTTAATGTCACCCATAAATTCAGCCAGCTGAAGGCGCATTTGTTTCAATTTGACTGCGAGCATAATACCATAGAGGTTTTTCCTAATACCCCATTTAGGAGCTAATGCCTTTAATGTTGTACTGCCCCTACAAACAGACATTATTAAAATTCTTGGACGAAATTTTAAGTCCTTCTTTGCGTAAAAATCTTTCGGGTTCCTGAAGAGCATTGCCTAAATGAAAACCGTATTTCAAGTACTAGTAACTGGTGCATTATGAGCACTTATACCTGCTGCCATAGCTTCCTGTTGTAATCTCCATTAACGTGCACTTACTTGGTCAGATCGTCCAGATTCATGACACTGGGATAGCACTGAAACAGAATCCGATCCGTTTCCGGAATGTACATCATTTGCCCCTGAGGAGTACAAAAGAATAACAGATTATTTTCGGCTGCCGAGGGTGGGGCATTGCAATAAAATTGATTTTTATGCCGCACTCTGTGGCAGGCCAAGCATTAAGTTTAATGCCACTGGGCGGCTGTGCGTAAGGGTCCTTTGGAATGGGACTTTCATAACCGTGCCAGACACATTGATGGCTTGTTGGCCCTTGCTCACCTTCAGTCTCAGAAAACGCTGCTCGTGCCGGCTGCTCATGGCCCCCTGACGTGTCTGCAGGACATAGATGGTGTTTATGTGGGACAGG